ACTCGGATCCAGATACCGCCGAGCTGGTCACCTTTGCTCCGACCCCCTCGAGCGAGGGGCTCATGGCATTCCTCCAGGTCAGCCTCAATCTGAGCCATGCCTTTGCATTCTGCGATGTCAAGAATGCGTTCTGCCAAAGCGACAAGTTGGTCAGGCGGGGCGGACCACTGTTTGCCCAGCCCTGTGAAGGACTCCATCTCGGCACCGACGCGCTGATCATTATCGACGTACCCGTGTACGGGCTCGACGACGCTCCGGCAGCATGGAGGGCAACTGTGGTCTCGTTCCTGGAACAGGAGGGCTTTGTGCGGAACCTGGTAGAACCATGTTGGTGGTCAAGATTTGACCAAGGCGGTGCCAATGAAGCTCAGGTGCTCATCGAAGTGGACGATTTCATCGTGACGGCCTTGCCGGAGCTCCGGAACAAGTTGAAGGAGACGTTCCAGGCCCGCTTCACCTTCGGCAAATGGGAGGAAAACGAAGCAGAGTATGCAGGCCGGATGATCAAGGTCCACTCAGGGCACATCCACGTCGACCAGGAGAAGTACCTAACCGAGCAGGTGAGGTGGCTTTGGCCAAGCACCGGAGGGCCTGCAAGCAGGAGCCTCTGACCGGCGAGGAGTTCGAAGCGTTTCGCTCGGCGATCTACAAGGTGAACTGGGTGGCGAAGGAGACACGCCCCGAAGTCGCAGGCATGGCATCGATCCTGGCCAGCAAGCTTAAGTCAGCTGTCATTGAGGATGTCCTGGTTCTGAACAAGAACATCAACTACCTGAGGAACACGGCAAGCCGCCCTCTTACCATCTGGAAGATGGACGTTCACGAGATGGCTTTCGTGGTCATCTCGGACGCAGGGGGAATTGGTGCCAAACACGACACCACCGACGAGCTGGACCTCCCGGCGGATAGCACTCAGGGAGCCTGGATGGTCTTTGCTGCAGAGGCTCTCCCCATCGGAAACATGAAGGTCAAGGCGAGCCCGCTGGCATGGCGCAGCAGCAAGCTCCGGCGGAAAGTTTTCTCCACCTTCGGCGGCGAGACTCAAGCGATGCTCCAAGGTATCTCGGAAGCAGATTGGCTCCAGATCATGGTGAGGGATGCTGTCCAGCACGATGTGGAGCTCAAGCAGTGGAGGAACTCCCTGAGCCCGCACATGGTCGTCATGAAGGGGGACCTCCAAGTTCCCGAGAGGCAGCCGCAATGCTCAGTAACCGATGCGAAGAGCCTGTATGATTGCATCATGAAAGAACATCCCCAAGGCAAACAAGACCGTCGTAGTGCTCTGGAACTGGCGATAATAGTCCGGGACTTGCAAGAAACGCGCTCCATGGTGCGGTGGGTCCCCCACCAAAAGATGGTCGTCGATGTGCTCACCAAGGTGGACCCGATGAAGGCCAACGGGGCCATGGACCAGTTCTTGCGAAGCGGTCAACTCAGCCTTGTGGATGTCGACACCGAGATTGCTGCTCGCGCTCAAGACCCCCGGAACAAGTCCAGGAGCCACAGCGCGTCAGTAGCTAGGTTAGCTCGTGAGTATGAGGTGCAAGGTCTGGCATTCTGGTCAACTCTTATTAGGGGGTGCTGTCAGGATAAGGCTTTCGCTTTAGAAAAGCACACTTGACCAGTCATGCTGCAGACCAGTTGAGCAACTCATCAGACGATGCTGCCGACTCGGTGGCTCAAGGGAATCGACTCAGAGGCAGCGGGAAAAAGCTCGCTAGGGCGGTCGCATTAGCTGCTCACTAGTATCCGCTACAGTTAGTATGGGGTTCTGGCGTTTCGATCTGCTTCGTGAAGGCTTCGTGTGATGTAGTTCTGCACACTGGTTGGGCAGGCCGAGTGGCATGATTCTGCTTGGATCCAGGCACAGATGTCCAGCTTGATGTAAGAGATGGTTTTGATGACTATGACTAGGACACTAGGACGATGAGAACTGCGATGAGTCATGCATCTTCCTGTCAGGACCACGCAACTTCAGATCAATGGCAGCAGGCTACATGCCAAAGCTTTGCTTGGTGTTAGTCAACAACTGTGTTTGCTCTTTCTCGGCGTTATGTCAGTTGTTGTGTGTTGTTTTCGCGGAGGCGGAGACTGGCTGGCGGGAATCTGCGTGGAACCAGGCACAGATTTGCAGCTGGCAGCCGGGACCGCTTGGTACTGAAAATCCCCGAGTCAGGGCCGAGACAGACATCACTGGCAGCCAGAGGCGTGGCAGTGTGAGTTTGGTGTTCTTGGCGTCTCGATCTTTTGTCGTGTGATGTAGTTTTCCTCAATGGTTGGGCAGGCTGACTGGCGGGAATCTGCTTGGAACGAGGCACAGACTTCCCAGCTTGCAGCAGGGAGCGCTCCGTACTGAAAATCCTCGAGTCAGGGCCGAGACAGAGATCACTGGCAGCCAGAGGCGTGGCAGTGTGAGTTTGGTGTTCTTGGCATCTCGATCTTTTGTCCTGTGATGTAGTCTGCTGCAAGAGATCGTTTTGCCGGGAACGGTTGGAACTTTGGTGTGCGTGCACCGGTCAGGACCAGACAATGGTTGGACTGTAATGCAATTTTGCCCCACTGCATGTCCACAGGGTTATCGGCACGTAACTTCAAAATCATCTGTTGTAGCTATGGTGCCGTTTTCTTAGCATGCTTGTATGGCGGAATTTAAACCCCAGACCATAAACCCTTGACGGCCCTAAACCCTAGGGAACAACCCCGTAATTGCAGCACGCCCGTGCCAGGATGGTGGAAACAGGCATCAGTGGTAGCAGCAGCGTGAGGGCCCCGATGTGTCGGACAAGATCTTGTCAGGCCACTTCTGCGGTTTAGGGTTTAGGCTTTAGGGCTCCTTTAAACGATGTTTATGGAAGACACACCACAGCACCATTCTAATCACGAAGGCTGCTGAATTAAGCACTTATTCTAGTATCCATGGGCTGTGAGTCTTGCCGACTTGGTAACCTGGTAGAGTGTTGAAGGGATGCTTTTCCGATTCGAAGTTGGCTAATTGAAGGATGACGAGCCTTAAACCCTAAAGTGCCTGAGTGTCAGCGCAGCAACCCAAAACCCTAGTCTGGCCTCCACCACTCCTTGAGCTGTTGTAATGAGGACAACAGAACTACCCGTTTCGAGTGGACTCCCAAAAGCGCCTTCGCTTGTGGGCATAGATCCCTGCCATGTGTTGGGGGACAAGTAACCATTTTCGGAACACTGACGGGAGTCCTTCCTGTTCTGTAAAAAGGCCCCTACATGAATTTAGGTCAGCAATATCGACAGCTATCGAACAGTCGGAAGTCGAGTCGGGGCGCATTGATGTTCGCGCAGGCTGTGCGTAGTCAGCATCGTCTGTGGAGTACGTGGGTAGGTGCTTTGCATGAGGGTTTAGGCTATAGGGTGCAGCCACACACCAGCTTTGCAAATTGGGGTGGCTCAGCTAGTTTTTGCGACAACTTCTTCCGGGATGATCGAAAGTGATTTTTCTTGTTGCCGGTGGTCGCTTGGACTCGCTGCTCCCAGAATCAGGCGGATGATCATGAGCGCCTTTTAGGCTTAGATGCGAGAATCGGGCCTTCCTTCCGTTTTTGCAATGGTCCGCAAACGGCCAGGGCAAGTTTTGGCTTTGACATCACTAAGTTCGCTAAGTTGGAACACGCTTGCTTCCTGTGGCCGTTGATTGTCAACCACAGCTTCTTGCAATGCTCGCTGACGTAGTGTTGCCTGGATCAGACGGATATGAGCTGCCTGTACAGATTCTGCAAGCTTCCTTCGCAAAGATTCTCGCGCATGCGGAGCTCCGCGATGCGAAAACGAAGATGCCTGGTGCGTAAACGGCTGCGTGCACTTTCCAAGTGTCAAGTGTTCAGGGCTTGAGATGCATAGCGGCTGTGCCAACCTACACTGGGCAGCTGCAGCTCTGGTCTCATCCACCCACGAGATTTGCGGTACACTTTGGATCCCACGGACGGGACAAAGCCAGAACTGGTAGCAGGACAATTCGGGTCCCTTTTAGGGTCCTTCTTATAAGAGTGCCGTACTATATTGGGGACCCAAAAAGGTGTGTGGGAACTCTTTGTTTGGAGGACCAAGTTTAAAGCCTTGGAGCTCAGCCAAGGATCTAAGTTAGCCTGGCTCGTCTCAAACTTCGTGTGCGTAGGGCTTAGGGTGCTTACAGCAGTGTCTCTATCTATCCCTTCAAAAAAATCCGAGCACCTAGAAACCTAGGGTCTAGGCCCCAAGGAGAACCCTGGCTCATGGAGGCACCGCACATCGGCCATTTCCGCCCACCCTTGTGCAGGCCAGGGGCTCTCAGACTTCCGCTCCTGGGTTCCCCAAAGGAGCCCTAAACCCTAGTGCCCTAGGGTTTGGGGATTCGGGTGGCGGGAGAAAGGGCTAGTTACGTTGCATGTTGGCTCCAGGTTATGACATCATTTAATCTCGGAGAAGCTGTGTTTCAGTGCCAGGAGATGAACAAATGAGGGGTTTAAGGTTTTAGGTTTTGAGGCCTGGACGCAAGAGGGTCCGCAGGGGCATGAGGGCATGTGCACTGCAGCCCCTCCTCCAGTAAGAAGGACGACAACTTCCACATGCTTTCAGGCCCCACCCTGGCCTTCTCAGCATAGCGGCTACTGGGCAGCATATCTACATGAGCACGGCCCTGAAACTTATGCCCTCAAACCCTCGGGCAGCTGCCAGGGATGCTGAGAGTTCGGCGCGCCGGCAGAGCACGTTGGGAAGATCCGAAAAAAGGCGACGCGCGACTTCGATCTACCGGAGATGTTGGACCCGCCGTGTTCAGGGTTTAGTTTAGGCTTTAATTCGTTAGAGACCTGGACGCAAGAAAAGAGTGGGTTACTTTTGGGGGTGCAGTGCTGAGCGGTTGCAGGGCTGAGGGGCTGCGGGTTTTCGGACAGAGCTGTCGGAGCCATGTGCAAGCAGTTGCTGCTCGCCTGATGCCAGGCCGTTTCTGTTCTAAGGTCCTGGTCCATGATCGACCAGGGGAGCAGGACGTAGGGGCCATGTCTCTCTACCAGACGCGTTCGTGCGACTCTCTGATAAAGCTTTCTGGTGCCGGGGGCTTACATGCTCAAGACTCACTTCTGATCCGCATTGTCAGGCGCTGCATTCTTAGGGTGCTTGCGGCGTGGGCCAGGGGTTCAGTGCTCAGGTTCGCTCTCAGCCGAAGTGGTCTTTCAGAGGGAAGCCGCCGTTGCCTCAGAGCTACTACTGAAGGAAAGCAGATTCTTCTGAGTGAGTGTGGTTTTAGTGTTTAGTTTGTGGAAGCAACAGGCATCCATGCGTTGTCAGTGATTTGTGAGATAAGCTGCAAAGCACGCGCCTTCGACTGTTTGAGGCCCTGAGCCCTCCAAGCGTCGTTTCATAGTTGGCCTCCTCGCATCACCCGCGAGGAACAGCGACGTTCGCGCAGAAACCCCTGGGTCGCCCCGGATTCGCTTGCGGATTGCAGGGTGGTGGCCCCCTTTTTTGTTTCTACAGTGCAGTGCAGTGTATAGTATGGTATTGTGACTGTAGTATAGTATGGTTTTCTGACAGTCTGCTTCTACATGGCTTGCCCTTGTTGGCTCTGCCTCGCATGGAATGCAGGAAATTAGGTTTCCCAAGGTGGACATGTGGATGTCTTACTGCTTCATAGTGCGGACTGCCTTGCACAACTGCTTCTGGAAGCATGCAATAGGACTAAGAAGTCAAGTACCCCCTTAACCTCAGCTTGCCGTCTTGAAATTCATGTGGCCAGGCCGGGTCAGTACACATCGACTGATTCCGTGCCTCGGCTGCCACATGCTCGTCCACTGCTGCACAGACGGACGGCATTATCATGATCTTTGCATGTCGCACTACTTGTTTACAGCTTTCAGGGTCTGACTTGCTAACACTCGGACTCCAGTATATAGTTATAGCTATAGTGTAATATGTCCAATTACCCCATGGACGCGTTTCGGCCAGGAGGCTTGGGTGTTTCGTCGCTCGCATCTCGGCATAGCCGAGCTAAAGATGCTACGGCGGCCGGGCATGCCATTCCAGGCAGAATAGCTGAGCGACGGCACACTCGGATTCCGTGATACAGGTATACTCTAGATGGTAAGACCTTGAAAACAACGGACCCCTAACTAAGGTACCGCTGCCCTCATTTCCTAACTTCCGGCTGTTTAGTCATCGAAGTTGTCCAACAGTAGGGTACCCAACCCTGTTGGGCCTTCATCATCAAAACAGAGTTCGAGCGTTCAACCCTGTAGGCCACCTAAACTCAATGCCAGACGATTCGCTCCAATGACGAGCACTTTGGGCTCCCAAGGGGAGTCTTGATCTAAACCCTAAACCCCAAACCCTAAACATGGCCCTTCACTAAACATTGTTTCCGGAAGCCAGAGTTTGCCGGTAACATTCCCCTAAACCCTAAACCCCTAAGTTCAACATTTGGTTTCCTTGCAAAACTGTGCAAGCAAGGACGAGAGCCGCTTAGCCAAGTTGTCAGAGTCGAAATCCCCTATAGGTCCCTTAGAGGAAGCCTTAAACAGAGGCCTTTAAAACACCCTCTTTAGGAACCCCTCTAGACGCCCCAGAGAGTCCCTGAGAGACTCCTTCCCTAACTCTTGAAAGTAGAGCCAACTCAAAGCCTTCTGCTGGCTGACCCGAGGTGAAGCACTCGACGCGCGGATCTGAGGTTGCTTCAAAAACCGCAGACTTGCATCGCGCAGCTTTTTTAAAGTGGGGCTCGTTAGAGGCAAGATGTTGGTGACGAGCCAGTGTGCAAGTACGATGATTTCAAGAACCACGTTAGCATGTACAGCATGGCATTTAGAGCTGTACTGACCTCTGCTACATTTGTCTTATTCTATTTCTTCGTCGGGTTGGGAGTGCATGGTTCGCAATTTGCATCGCAGTCGTTGCTGCACGTCCTGCTTGTTAAAACTCCTGCTGTTTGCATTCGTGGTCTTCCTCCCGATTACAACATCCTCTTCGAATCATTGAGGCCCCCGATACTATAGCCATTGCTACTGGCATAAAACATTAACATTACGACTACTCCTGCTGCTAATGCTACTAAGCTGTCTAAGCCCACTCTGGCTTAGGACGAAGCATGGCTTTGGCACGTCTCCGCGGGACATTGGCCCGGGCCCTCGTTGACTGAGCCCTAAACCCTACACCCTAAACGACCCTAAACCCTAAGCCCTAAGACCTTAAACCCTATACCCTAAACCCTAAATCCTCTGTTGTGAACTCAACCCTGCAATGCGGGCTCGTCCTTGCTATGTAGGAGGGAAAAAAACCCGAAACCCATAAACCCTAAGTCCTAAAACCCTAAACCCTCAACCCTGAACCCTAAACCCTAAACCCTAAGCCCTAAAACGCTAAACCCTAAACCTTCAACCCTAAACCCTAAACCCTAAACCCTATACCCTAGAGCCTAAACCCTGTATCTATAAGCCCTCAGCAGATGTTTGGGCTTCGAGGCTTCGGGGCAAAGGGGGTAAGAACCCCCCACAGGTCCGAAGGGAAGTGGGGAACGAGACTCAGGCTTTGGGGTGTAGGGTTTAGGGTTTGGGGTCTAGGGCTGAGGTTTTAGGGTTTAGAGCTTCGGGGCAAAAATGGAGGCCTTGATGCTAGGATCAACTCCACTACTTGTGCCAAACTGTTAAATCCAGAGATATATAAGCATAACATAACATAATTAATATGATGTAATATAACATGGCATAATACCACCTTTGTGCTACAGCCTTGTACGATAAATGTTTATACTATCCCAGCCGTCCAAAGCCTGCTGAGTTCGCCCTGCCACATCGCCCGGTCCCGGAGAGTGCGCCATTGCCGGACCTGCGTCGATCTTTCGGCGTTGTCTTAGTCAGGTTTAGGGTTTCGGGCTGTGCGTTATTGGCGTTTGGGGCTTACGGCTATCAGGGCCGTCATGCGGATGTAGGGGAGGTTTGGCGTTTGGAGCCTGTGTTTGTGCAGGTACACGCCAGCGCAGACACTCAGCGGGAGCGGCCACAAGTACGGCACGCACCCTATTTTCCAAGATTTTGAAAAGCCTTCGATGCCCACTGTTACCCACTCATCGCAACGCATGTCCGAGCCAGAGTCAGCGTGGCAGCTGTGCTTGTCTCAGAGAGTTGGCTGTGAGGTTTCGGGACATCGCAGAGGCAAAGCCTGAAAAACATCAGCGTCGCAGCTGGAAATCCGGGTGCGGCTCTCGAAGTGCTGCCTTGAAAAGTCTTGGATTCAGAGTGCAGGGGGCTGAATGTGCTTTCATGTCACCCCTGTTCGGTGGGCTTGCTGAGTGCATCGGTGTTTTCACAGCAGTGGTCTTTTCCCCACAGCCTAAACCTTGAACCATAAACCCGTCTTCTTTCAACTGTTTTCTTACCCTGCAATGCGGGCTCGTCCCTGCTAGTTAGGAGGAACAAATTCCACAGTCACAATCCCCAAGTCTGTGCACTCTGCAAGCCGAAACAAGTCCAGCAGAATATGCACCAAAACCCTGCTCGAATTTGTTCAGGCTCTTATACTATGATTACAAAGTGCCCCTAGGCCCTACAAAGAAGCTTACTCCAAGATAGGGCCGAAAGGGTGGGTGACGAGCCGACCCGGACCACAGGCACCTGCCCTCGAACTACGGACCAACCTCGCCTGCATTGCCCGAGTTGCGAGAGTCCCAGACCCTGAACCCTAAACCCTGAAGTGGAGCCTTGCCTGCCTGGTGCGAATGTGAGAGTCGAAACCCTGAACCCTAAACCCTCAACCCTAAACCCTAATACCCTAAACCCCAAACCCTAAACCCTGTAAGCCGTATAAACCCTATAAACCCTAAAACCCTAAACCCTGAACCCTGGCCTCTGATCAGGCCCCGGCGCCTACACCCAGTCGCCACGCTTCGGCCACGAGGGGCCGAAGTACACCGCGAACTCGAAGCGCGGAGGCCGCGGTCCTTGGCACTCTGTGCTTAGGGCTTAGGGGCCTGGGGTGGAAATGCCCGATGCCGTGTGACTCGACCTTCACACGTTTGCATTCTGCGTCTCTGAAGCCTGTGCAGTTGCACGTCCGACCTTGGGGTGTGGACCCGTGAGCGGAATCCGTGGCGTGGTAAAGTCGTTGTCATTCGTCGTTGTTTTGTTTAAGTTTGCATGCGCACCTACTTTTTACGGGGTTTTTGATCTCATGACCTTCTTGCAGCTCTGCCTTTGGTGGGTCATGGTTCTTTTAAGTCTCCCTGTCCAGTGGCTGCAGCCCCCCCCAGTACTCAAACCCCAATAGGGTCCGCAAAACCACGGTTGTAAACATCAATGGGTACGTGTATATGGGGGTTTCCGAAAATAGGGGACCCTAATATAGCACCCTAAATAGTAGGATCCTTATTATAAGGACCCCAAAATAAGGTACCCCAATTTTTGGAAAGTCCCATATACGCACGGTACAAGTTCTTGTGCAGGAAAACGGAGTGCCCTGCTCTTCGGCGCTAATCCCAGAATCCTATACCAGAGTACCTTAAGCTTAAGCCTTACATATGCTCTGGAGCCGAAACCCTTACCCCCGAAACCCCTAAACCCCTAAACCCCTAAACTCTAAACCCTAAACCCCCAAACCCTTAAACCTCTAAACTCTAAACCCTAAACCCTAAGCGAAGGGCAGGCCTACGATAGGAGGTGCAACCCTCCAAGCGACTTGAAGCTCGTTCACTGGGACAGCCTCTATTTGGACAAACTGCAGACTGTCGTGCTTCAAACACGGCAGCTACCACAAAGGAGGTGCTCTCTGGAGATCGAATGGCTTCAGGAAACACTGCAAGGCAGGCCCTTGGATCCGGGATAGTGGGATCGCCCGACAAGAACCGCGCGGCTGGGACTTACGGAAACCAGACAATCATGGCACTGCAGTTCTTGAGGCAATCTTCGCGTGCCTATGTGCTACACCTGTCTGGGCTCGAACACTTGGAACCGAGAAGAACAAACCCGGCAGAGTCCAAAGATCTGGAGCAGTAGTACTGAGGGACCACCGCAAGCCTGTGTAGAGTCCACGTGGTAAGACAAAGACTGCAACTGTAGTTTCTACCTGCGCCAAAGAGTGAAATAAAAAACTCCAGCATGCCCAGACCATTTCAACTCTTCTATCCTGTTGTGATCTGTTGTCTTAGTGCTTGTCCTAGCTTGGGGTGTAAAACGGTCTGGCCTCATTCTACCCACCGACCTACCATGGGAGACTGTGAGCCCCTGATTTGCCTGGGTTGCTGTCTCTGTCTGTCTGTTTTTATCCTACTATTAGCTAGCAATGACCATTTCCATTTTCTAACCATGCACCCCCCCTAGCACCCCAAACCATAACAACCTATACCTCAACCCTAAACCCATCCAAGACCCATAGCTAGAACCCTAGGAATAACTCACCT